AGACACACACACACACACAGACAAACACACACACACACACAGACACAGACACAGACACACACACACCCACACACACACACACACACACACACAGGATGGTGTTCAGTGTGTCCGTCTCTATGATCACACGGCGTTTGTTTGGAGTTTGTGGTCACTGCAGGCTAAATATACGTCCTCTCGTGGCTCAGACGCTCCTTCATGGAAACATTTTGCCATTTGTGGGAAATTTTATATTCAGGAAGCCTGGCGAGTCTGACGTCATGTTAACGGCAAAGAAACTCACAAGTGACTGATCTGAAATTATTTTCAGTTGCAGAACATTATTTCAGTTGATATACTGTATTTATGTGTGTTTATACACTATATATAATATCATTAATATTCTTTTATAAATATATATAATGTAATATGAATCTATATAAAAAACTAGTATATATAAAACTAAACAATTACTAAAACTATCTAAAATTAAAATGTAATAAAAATATAGAATTTAATAAAATAAGTAATATAATTAATATAATAAATGCAATATATAATGCTGATAATGATAATAATATTATGTATATTTATTATTTTATTCTATTCTATATTTTTTTATTACATTTTAACTTTAGATAGTTTTATTAATTGTCTGGTTTCGTGTCGGAGGCGCTGGCTGTTCAGCACAGGCTTTCACACGGCTCTGTTGAATCTGACGTGACGCTGAAGTTTTTCCACTCGTTTCCTGCAGATCCGCTGAATATAAACACTGGATGACTGTGTTCATGGAGACGGTAAACATGAGCGGAGCAACACGCTCACAAACCAACCGCTGGAAACACTGAAGAGCCCAGAGATTCTCCTGCTTCTGTTTCCAGCGGCAGTGCAGTCAATCACAACCAGATCTGCTCTTCTGTTCTGGGACCAGGGTTGTGTCGTGTCGTGTCGTGTCGTGTGTTGTTGTGTGTCGTGTCGTGTCGTGTGTTGTTGTGTGTCGTGTCGTGTCATGTCGTGTTGTGTGTCGTGTCGTGTCGTGTCATGTCGTGTGTTGTTGTGTGTCGTGTCGTGTCGTGTCATGTCGTGTGTTGTTGTGTGTCGTGTCGTGTCGTGTCATGTCGTGTGTTGTTGTGTGTCGTGTCGTGTGTTGTTGTGTCGTGTCGTGTGGTGT